AAAATAAAATAAAATAAAATAAAATAAAATAAAATAAAATAAAATAAAATAAAATCAAATCAAATAAAATAAAATAAAATAAAATAAAATAAAATAAAATTAAATAAAATAAATAAAACAAAATAAAATAAAACTAAGTTGTAGCACGCAGCTCTAACCAATTGACCAGAGTTGGACAAAAGTTATTCGAATGAGTTTTGGTGACGTTATCGAAAATGCCCCTGATCCGCATTAATTCTCAACCTTAGAGACTATTTCGGAAAACTGCAATTAAATCCCGAATCAATTCCAAACTTATGAGTTGATGATCCGTTTCATCATTGGAGCGATTTTCCAGCGCTTTAGTAATCAAAAATTAGCTAATTTTTCATCAATTTTTCCTTTAACATGCAAAATTCTAAATAAATTTAGATTGCATTTGTACACAATAATATTTCTATTATTCTAAAGAACTTAAGTATTTTCCCAAAATTTAATTTATATCTGCAAAACCTAAGTTGTTGAAGCTTTGTAAAGGCTCAAACTTGATCCCACTATAAACCAATATTTATCGTTGTTTCTGCGACATAAAATGATGTGATTGCTTATAAAAAAGGAACCTGCCGATGAGGTTGGTATTGTTTCTTTGAAGCGATGTATTTCTCTTTGGAATCGTTTTTTTTTTAAATTACAACTACAACATTTGAGCAAGGCATCCATATTGAGACTCTGCTTTAAAAAATCATGTTACTATTTTTTTAGCGTATGCACTCGTATTAACGCTGATAAATGGCACACTTTGTTTATTACCACAAAAGTGCACGCATTTTCAGTCTAAAAAGTTTGCTAGACAGGTGCGGAAAAAGTTGTTGGTAAAACACGGAACACTGCACACACACTCTTCAAGCCATGGTGGTTTCGTCACACATATGTATGTATGTATGTACATATGTACATATATATGCCTGTTTGTACGATAAGAATTTGCTGTACTGGCAATTATAAATACATATGTATTCGTGGTCTCTATTTATTTTTAACACTGCTTTTTTATCGGTGATTGTTACTTATTCACCACTCAGTCACTGATGATTACGGTGACCATATTCACATACATACATACATATAGCAGCCGAATCTCAAAATCTTCTGGATTAAATATTTTGGAATAACTGAGTGATTTGTAGTTCTACTCCAAAGAATGGATAAACAAGTGACGACGAGGTTTCTTTGACGAAATTCGGCGAGAATAGATCTATTTTTAATTAATCTATTTTTTTTTTTTTTGTGTTGGTCGGAAACTGAGCTCGAATCCAGGTCCTG